ATTTTAACCCCCGGGTGATTTTAATAAATTTTAACCCCCGGGTGATTTTAATAAATTTTAACCCCGGGTGATTTACAATAATTTTAACCCCAGGTAATCATAATAATTTAACACTTGAGGGTACATAATTATTCGATTACTTTACTTTCTGCTTTTGATCGTATAAATAATTTCTTACGATCTCTTATAATCATAAAATCGTGCAACTCTATTTTAGTCTTATTAATTTGCTTTATAAAACATGCATTCTACATTCGTGATCATACAAATGTTTCTTATAATCATAAGACCCTGTTGCTATTTAGTTATTCATTCATTTAATTATGCATCTTGCATTCTTTTAATCATAAAAAATAGAACCTGACGATGATGCAAATTTATCCTTTCGGTATTACCCTTTGTACTCTTTATTTGAAGAGGACCTGTTGTACCCTTTATATAAAGAAAATTTGATAAACAGAACTCACCCATTCAGTATCGAACCGAATAATGGTTTCGAAACAAATAATGCCATTAGTATATACTCATTTGTCAGATTCTCTCTTTTTTTTTTTGAACCTACTAACTTAATCGCATCTCTAATATCTTCTATTTATTTTTGCATCCTAATTGAAGACAAGTACCTTTTATTCGAAGAAGACGTTATAGATGAACCTCAGCCAAGTAGTTCCGGAACAAATCATATAGGTTTATATTTGGCTTTAGATTTTTTGTAGTTAATGAATTCATTTGTAACTACTTACTTCACAATCTAATATAAACCTCTGTTTATGCCTTTGTCTAAGATGGTTCAATTATCGAAACTTCCAAAGATATTCATGAAGAGGAAAATGAACACGAGGACACAGAAGATGATATAGATGAATTTGGGAGGTTATAATTATATGTAGATATGAAATTTGACATATGGAAACTCGCTGAATCTCACCTTGTAGAATATGGAAAACAAGAAGGATTTTGTCTTCGTAAACGACGCCGCGTTCCTGATCTAGTTGACAATAGTATAACCCGTCGCCGTACTTTTGAGTACTCTCATGCATGTACACATGAAGCTAAAAAGACCATTTTAACAGAGAATAGAAGAGATAGGGAATCGGGGATGATTGATTGTTCTTGGCACATTAATTTATCATTCCCTAAAACAGAATATAGAATTAAAATAAACACAATTGTAGGTAAACACAACCATCCAATGAACCCTCTTATTGTGGAAACAGCTCCAAGGTTTCATTGTTTAACTGATGAAATGTGTGAAAAAATTAAATTCTGGACTGTTCAAGAAAGATTAGGAATGGCAATACAGTATAATCTACTTTCCACATTGTTTCCTGATAAAAAGATTAATAAAAAAGATCTAAGTAACACTATACAAAAGTATAAGAAACAGTTAAAGCCTCAAAAAAATGATGCATGTCAAACTTTAGCTGATTTGTATAAGAAGAAGGATAATGATCCATTGTGGATAGTAAAGCCAAGAATTGACCCTGATAAAAAAAGACTAATGGCATTATTCTGGATGTCCCCGGCCCAAATACATACTTATAAAAGGTTTCATGATGTTATTGTTATTGATACAACATCAAAGACAAACCAATTCGATATGATCCTATTTATGGTTATGGCTATTGATAAAACTTTAGAAATTTAATAGTAGCTGCGGCACTTATAGAGGATGAAACCGAAGAAATATTTACCTGGATTTTAGATAAACTTAAAATGGCTTGTGAAATTACTCCAAGAGTAATATATTCAGATTCAGACCCTGCTTTGATATCAGCTATACGTAATAATTACTTAGAGATACGTCTTTTCCATTGTATATTCTACATCGATCTAAATTTAAAAAAAAACCTTAAGAAAAAGTTACACAACCAATTTAAGCAATTTCGACATAAATTTTTAGAGATGCATAACTCCCTATGTTCTAGACAATTTGAAACTAAGTGGGCTAAGCTTATTGAAGAATATCCTGTCTGTAAACAATATTTGACATGTACTTTGTATTCATGCAAGGAAAGTTGGGCTAGCTTTGCAGGTATTTTGCAAACTATATATATAGCAATCGCATAAATTTCATTGGCTGATCATCAACATATTTTCAATTAAAAAATTAACTTCCGGTGCAGTCAATAGGCATTTTACTGGGGGAATTCAAAGTACCCAACGAGCAGAGATTTCTAACAGAATAATAAAAGATAAACTTAGCCAAAATTCAAGACTGGCTGATGTTATTGAAGAAATCCAAGCGGCATTCGATAATCAATCAAAAAGGGCATTAGTAAATGAATGTAAAAGTGCAATACCAACTCGAGAATTACCCAATATAATGAAAGAGTACTTTCTGGAAATGATCAAGCTATTGCGAGAATATCTCACACTACAAATATTCCAAAAGCAATGTGACCAAATATCACAATCACTCTGCTATGATGTTTTTTCGATTAATGACTAGTCTTCATTATTGGAGGTACGTAGAGAATTTCTAATCTAGAAAAGTTCACTATTGAAATATGGTTAGAAAGCTAGATTTAGGGTTGCAGTTAAGATAGGGTTATGTGTTGCGCATAGCAATACACATGAATTAGAAGGATTGAATTAAGACGTATTAGAAGAATTGGAATAGGAAACTTAACTTTTTTTTTATTTAGACAACAGATGATTCTTACCAGTTAGAAATGGGTAGAGAAGATGAATACGATTAACCACAAGCTCTATTCTCTTCATTGATTAGTCATATGTCGAATTACAATATTCTGGAAGTATGGGGTGTAAATAGGTATAGGTCACTACAGACAACACCCCAATATGTAATCATACTAGATGATGGATCTCACCCATGCACCTGTCTTTGGCTTATCAATAGAGGCATTGTTTGTAGACACTTTTTTAGAGTAATGTCTTATTCTCAAAATGTATGCTTCCATATTACTTTAATCTCACAGCGATGGTATAATGACAAAAAAGCCAGTGTCGATCGACAAATTCATTTTTCTACCCCAGTCTATCAAATTGCTAAAAATAAATTGAATTAGCTTCCTTTACAGCCATTATCATTTGATCATTTGGCAAATATTAGAAAAACAGATTACATTGAGCAAAAGCGAAATCCTAAACAAAAATATGGTTTTGGGATGGGTCATGCTAAAAAAGTACTTGACTATGCAGTTCGGGCAGATAATGTTAATGAATTGGTTAGTTGCTTAGAAAAATTTATTGAAAGAACTAAAGTTGAATTAGAAAAACAACAAGAGAAGGTTAATAATTTTGAAGATATAATCATTAATGATTTGATACGCGTAAAGCACAAAGGGCGTCAGCCTAAACGTTATAAATCGGGAGGAGAAGAAAGAAAGTACAAAATGTTCAAGATGCTACCGAACAAGTTGATCAAAGTTCTAGTAATTTAAAGCATGTGAGACATTGCCAAAAATGTAAACAGGCAGGTCACTATGCTCCACGGTGTCCAAATTAGTATAGTGTTACATATGTAGTATTATATAATAGATCGAAATATTTGAGCTTGCTTTAATGTAAAAATTGAAAAATAAACCAATGCTACATAGCTTTATTGTAAAAGATGCTATTGCAACATATTATGTAATTTGACTATTCTAATATAGATGTATACTGTATTATACCCATCGCCAATTAACTAAAATTTAGAATTTTATCGAAGTGAGCTGTTAACTACTGTATATACAAAGCTCATAGTAAGACATTCGTATTGGCTAATGTAAATCAATTACCCAGATAACTTTTTAGAACATAAGGTCTAATAAAAAATCACTGCAAAAGCCATTTTTCACTTCGAAGAATGTTTATATTCACTGTTTAGTTTAAATAGCGGCTTTGTCTTACAGGAACCTTATTGAAAAAATAGTAGAAGTTAGAAGAGGTTGACATGAACGGGAACCTTTACTAAAAATGAGTGATATTCCTGTTTATACCCGCACCATTTATCTCAATAAACTTTTCTTATATAAACAAAAAATACAAGCTCCTAGTAGTAAAAGATCCAGGCTTTATATTTAAATTTGGTCGGTTCTTGCTTGTCAACTGTATATTAATAGTTATCTATTCTTTTGTATATACTGTATTTATTAGTTTGTAAGCTTTATTCAAAGTTTTGTTAGAACTATAGTATTAATAAATTTATATATTTTGATTAGTCAATTATTATGAGCAATCACAGATAGATCTACCAAAATTAACCAATCATATGAATATCTTACAAAGCTATATAGTATTGTAAAACAATATATTTTTATATTATTTTTATATTTATATATTAAATCACATGACAGGTGATTTCACCCGGGGGCAAGTTAGCAAAATCCATATTAATATACATTTATTTTACTTTTATAAATTTTAAGAAAAAAATGCTTAATTTTAAATTTTTGATCAAAATTTTCAAAATTAAGTATTGTTTTTGTACAATTTAAAATTATAAAGTAAATATATACTAATATGAAATATTTTTATATGCAGAACATGTCTACTTAAAATATAAAGATATAAAATATTAAAAATCATCAACTCTTTCCGATAATCACTAAAACCTAAATTTCCCAAACAATTTTTGTAAAAACAGTAACTAGTAAGTAATAGAGAGTATAAAACTGAAATCTATAAGTTGGCAGTTGTTATTTAGAGGTAGTTTTCATATGCTACCTGCTAACTTCTTCAAAGTTTATCACTCACCGCTAGTATGGCACTTGTTGTTTAGAAGTAGTTCTCATATGCTACTTGCCAACAAGTTCAGAGTTTATCACTTACCATTTAAGTATAGTAGCTCCTCTCCTTTCCTAGAAAAAGGGTTACTAGTTATCGGTTCTTTCAAAGATAAAATACTTTCTTTGGGTGTTAGTGGTTCTTCCTTTAAGTCTCTTTTGGTCCTGTTGGTTTTCTCCAAAATTTTTGACAAAAAGTAAGCGATTCAGCTTACTTTCTTCAAAAGATCGGCATTGTTTACCTCCCAAATTCGGACATACTCAAGAATGCAACTATGTGCCTTGTTTATCAGTGGATACAATACACGACATAGTCTATGGATACGGGACCTCCACGTGACTGGGATCGGGTCTCTGGCATAAGAAACATCCGGAAGTGGCCGGTAGTCGGATAATAAAGGTCTTATATTATAGTCGAGATATACAAATGTTGCAGTTGTTATAAAATTTTTTCTTAAACCTGGTACGGGTTATAATAGTGTATTTCTTCTTGTTTTGTTTTTTTTCTTTCGTTTCTCCTATGCTATTTCTTTATAGAAATAGTTTCCCCCTTTGTCAGCTCTCGGGCTTTTCTCTTTGTGTTTCTTTTTTTTGCATCTCATTGTACTCTCTTTTCATTTCCTTTAAAAATACCCCTTCATTTTATAGTTAGTTTTTTGTTTTGTTTTTTTGGTAGTATTGGTGGTTTTGTATAAGATTATCACTTTCTTTTGCTCTTGATAAAGAAAGGAGATATGAAGGGAAAAGCTTTGACGGGCTAACAAAGTTTATCTAACTTGTATACAGGTTGGTGCGACAAGTCGCAGTTGGGCACGTTTATTACAACCGGGTGATGTCAGGCTCGCAATTGCAAGACTCTCTGTTTTTTGGTTATGAATGATATATGTATTGTTTAAGAGAGCTTAGCTCTCACCTGAAATATAGTCCCAATAAATTGAGCACTGGCAAGACTGTCAAAGACTTAAAAAAAAATATATATATTCAAATTTTTTAATGAATAATAAATAATTGAACAAATGAATATTCTAATATCTATTTTTTGACTAGATAAGACCTTTAGTAATAATGCTCAAGCATCATAATCAATAAAATTAAATGCTTGAGTATACTCTTTTTCTATTTTTTATGATCTTTATTATGCTATCTAAAACATCTAAAAAATCCAATAAAAAAAATTCTGTTCAACCGATTGCCAAATCTTTAGCTTTAGTTTTGTCAACTTCCTCTTTTAATGATTTTACCAATATTAACATTTTGTTGCAATAGAAATAGCTAATAGAATCATTAGTGAAAGTTGTTTTGTAGCAACAAGAAGCAAAAAAAAATTTATTAAGTATATATAGCAGTATTTATTATGGTTTGGTTAAATGTTAGAAGATAAGTTGTATTAATTACATATTTTAAAAACTTTTAGTATTAAAAATAAAGTGGCTATTTTTTTAAAGTAGTTGGAAATTTGTTGTAAAATTTGTTATGAATTTATTGTTTATTATGCTTAATATGTTAAAATGTAAAAGTAGTACTTGAGCGACCTTTATTAATAGTAAATTTTGAAAAAAAAAGGTGGTTGATTTGTTTGATCAAATTGGTAACTTGATTGATTTATTTAATATCCAACTAATTAAAAATTTACATTCAATCTATTAAGTAAGATACTTAAGAATGACCTTAAGTAAAAAAATATTTCTAATTACTTTACTCTATAGCTTTGTACGGTCCAATAGATAACAGTATATTTTTTGTCTTTTAAGCAAAGTAGTAGGGCAAAAAAGGGAGTTCTGGAGTCACTTTTTTGGTACCCTGGGTACAAAGTATTCATTTGCTTTTTAGATCGCTCAAGAAGTCTATATTCTATAAAAACTCTTTACTAACTATATAAAAACCTGGGTACCAAA